GTATTCCCTGGCACCCTGCCCCGGGGGCGAAAGGACCCCCTCCCTCTCTTGGGCCCACAGAAGCTGACCTGTCCACACTGATGTCTGAAAACCACCCCACCCCGGTGGAAAAACCCTGCCGGACAATCGGCTCTGGACAATGACCCAACCGCAGGACAGACCGCAGGTTTCACCTGACCCTGGAAAGCCCCGACTGCCACCAGTTTCGGCCAGCAACAATTGCCTCAGAAAAATATAAAACCTTGCCCCTGCCCAGGTTTGGCGCGGCTTCTCCTGCTCCCCTCTCTGAGCCGGTGAACCCGCCCGTGTGCTCCCAACAAAGCCTGTTTGATCTGGTCTCTGTTTGGACTCACGGTTTTTCCTTGTGGCGGCGTAAAAGCTAAGAGTCTATTTTTAGGACATATTAAAAATATGTTCTTGAAAAATTTTAAAGAAGGTATGGCTATAAAAATGAAATCCTTAAAACTAACATTTGAATGATAAGCACTTTGGGGAGTAATTATAGTTCAAAATCTATATTTAGTACATTTTTATATATGGATAATTACTCCTAGTAATATCTTTAGCTGGATTTTGGAACAACACTAATAATTTGTTGCAAAATTAATTCCTTGGCACAATTCAACATTTAGTGATATGAAGCCAAAGTGAATTGACTTTACTGCAGGCCATTTGGTTGTAGAATTTTCTATGTACAATTGTTAATTGTTTATCACAGGTCATTTTGGAACTTATTATAAAAATAGATTGTTTCAAGGTGCACGTTGTAGAAATGGTTGTATATTTTCAGCCCATGGCATCTTATTTAAATAAAAAAAATGGTAAAATAGTGTTATCATTTTTGATTATAAAAGTGATGGATGGATTGAAAACATTTTTTTTACTATTTTTTTTTCTTTTATTAGTGTAGATAATTTAGTGGTTTATTGTTTGAAATGTACACTTTTTTTTATTATTAGTTAAGGTGTTACAAATGTTTCCTTATCCCCCCCCATTAACCCTCAACCTCCCCCCGCACACACACTCATGCTCCCATCCCGCTGTTGTCCATGTCCATTGGTTTGGCTTATATACATGTATACAAGTCCTTTGGTTGATCTCCTCCCCTTACCCCCGCCCTACCC